TTTTTCTTTTTTTTCTTTTTTTTTTTGAATAGAAACTTTATAAATTCAAAAGAGATAAACAAAGAAACAAGCAAGTGGATAAGGAATCCACAAGAGAAAACAAACAATTAAACTAAGGACTGCACTGCACACGAAGAATTAAAGTAAGTAACTGCACGCATATGAAATAAACGTGCCTAAAATCCGTACAAATTTAAAAAAAATAAAAAATAAGAATATTACGACAGGAACTTATGAATGGAAAACACAATCCGCGAACACCCATACAATTTTCCTGACAATCAGAAACCCACTTAGGCATCAAATCATAAGTGAAAAACCAACCTCATATCAAAATTTCAAGAAAAGGGATAAATATCCCAGAAACGTAGTCAAGCACCTTCTGTCGAAATAGAAAACCGGAACCCTAACAATGAAGGCATAGAGCAGGGAAAAGAAAAAGGCAATACCTGAAAAATCTGGTTACTTTGGCCTCAATAGAAAGCCACGAATTAGAGCTGCGAAGGTTTGCAGTAAATTCACAGTAAAAACCCCAAAGAAGATTGGGAATTTTGCGCTAAGAATACTCTATTTAATGCGGAGAGAGAGAGAGAGAGAGAGGGGGGGAGAGCGTTTCGTATTATCGGATTGGGTTGAGGAGTAGAGGGGAGAGAGACACACGCCCACACAGCTTTAGCATATAGGAGAGAGGAAGGGCAGAGAGATAGAGAAAGATCAGACGAGTGTGGTTTCGCGGAACCGTTAATTTCACATTGAATGGTTCATTCGCGCGCTTGGGCGCGGCTTGGCTCGAGACTCAGCTTGTCCGTTTGCTCCAAGGTTACGTCAATTCCTGATCCTGACCTGATTGTTGCATTGCAGCCAGCAAGGGTTAGAATGGAACAGTGATATTGTGTCGTGTTAACGAGTAATAGCAGGAAGGGTCAGACTTTTTATTTCGTGGCACCCGGGTCTCAATTCTCTAGAAAATCCTTTTATTTCTTTATTTCCTAATATATCTTGTATGATTTTTGTGTTAATATATATATATAAAACAAAAGGCAGAGAATGGTGAAACATTCAAAATACCATAAATTTTCCTTGGTTAATGCAAACACTAAGAATTAAAGTTACTAATTAAATGAGGATAATATGGTAAATTCACACTTTTTCATATTAAAAAAATTTAAAATAAAAATAAAAATCAAATAATGAATCCTCTTTTTATGAAACACAACTACCCATTATCTTTTTTAATTTTAAAATAATTTTTTTTTTAGATTATTATAAATAAACCCAATCCTAGGCATGTATTTATAAAAAAACCCACACACTATTTAAACATAGAAACACACCCAAAATCAACCCCAAAATCAACAATTGTATATTTTTTGGGTGTGTTTATAAATGGGTTTTGAGTGTGTGTAATGATGGATTTTGGGTGTGTTTCTATGTTTAAATAGTGTGTGGGTTTTTTTATAAATACATGCCTAGGATTGGGTGTTTTAGTGAAACCCCCTTTTTTTTTTAAAAAAAAAAAAGCCTCTCGTAGGCGTGGAAGCGTATGCGAAGAGTCTAGTATTATAATTAAGTGAATTTTTACTTTTTATAAGTAATATGTAAGTGATTGCTTAACTAGAAACAAAGTTAAGTTAATTTAGTTTTCTTCCATTTATAATATATGTGGGTCTCTACTCAAACACAACACAATTTAGCAAAAGGGACTATAATAAGACATGAACATAAAATGTAATTACACATAAACAACTATCACCCCTTTTTTTTTTTTTTTGAACTACGAGGTGGTCCTGGATGGGCCCCAACTATGGGTGGCACCTTTAAACCTTAACCACAACCCAGACTAATCCCCGCTCACACCGGGTCAGCCCGTAAGGGGTAAAGTGCTGGCCAAAGTGGTGACTCCGTACGAGAGCAGGGATCGAAACAACTATCACCCTTTTCAGTGAGTAAGGGGTAATGATATAATGCATTTTGTAATTAACATATATAATACATTGTTATACATTACAACCACCAACTCCTACCTTAAAAAGAAAAATTAGTTACAAACAATCAACAAGTATGCTTAATCACATTCACCAAATACACTAAAAAATAATTAGTTAAATATGTCTAATGAAATAATCTGTATTTTTTCTCTCATTCTTTATCGTATTGTCATATGTATATAATCTACAAAATTATATGGATGCAATTATTATATGTTGTCGTGAGTCAACACTCCTAGTACGGTTAGGAGATATTTGTGGTAATTATTGTACAATCAGGATTTCAAACCCTAAGTATTTGTTTTATCTTAATATAATCAATAACTGTAAGTTATACATATTAACAATTCATCTCCTAATGGTTTAGATTAACAATTTAACCCCTTTAACATTATATTATGAAGAGGCATAATAGTAAAGCTAAGGAAATAAATAAGTATGAATACGTGAGACAAGTATGTGTTGGAAACTTTGGATCTTAAGTAAATGTGTGAAGTAACGCGTGTTGGTGTGAGTTGTAAATATTATTAAGAGATTTTTTTTTTTATTTGACATATTTGAGTATAATTATAAATTAATTACTTCTCTTGTAACCTACCCAATGTGACTTCATAACATTTTCAATTATTCCATTAAAATATAAATAGCATGGATTATGCAAATGACTAGAGTGACCCTCCGATTATATATAGTCATCACCAAATTTAAATTTCAATTCCACACCTAAACGAATTATTAGCAAGTTAGTTCACCTTTTTTTGGGATCAAACTTTGCAAATAAAATTGGGAATTTTTTTTGTTGCCTCATCCAAAAAAGTAAAAAGGATTTTTATATTTATGCACCAAAAATAAAAGAAACGTACATTTTTTTAATATCAGAAAACAAACAAATTAACAATGATTCGGATTTTGGTGCTTTTTTGGGGTTCGGCTTGGCTGCCGACAGTGAGAGCGAGCCGTTCGAGTTGCCGTCAAAACACAACTAGGAACTTGACGGCAATGTTTGGAATTGGTGGTCTTTGGTTGGACCCCGTGGACTTTTGGCCCTCAAGTAAACGTTTTATCCTTTTCTTATTTTTGCAGTATATATATGTAACTCTTCCTCTTTTTTTAGAGAGACATGGACCCCATTTAATGGTTAAAAAATAAAATGATATGTACGAGATTTTAATAGCATTATTATATGTATCATATTCGTAAGCAAATGGATTTCATAACTTCCTTTTCTTTTCTTTTCTCAAATACATATATACTGCTTCTTGAAAGATAGAAAGATTAGAAAGACCACGATTAAGTATTTAATATCTTCTCATCTTAGCCTTATATTGATAATTCTGGTGTCAAAAAATATGCACTGGGACCGTAAAATTTGAGTCACTAATCACAAACTTAAGAAATTTATCTTTTATTCTTGATGGTGGGAAGGGAATTTGGATTTCTAAAGGTACATTATGTGTTAAAAAAGAGTCTGGTTGATTGAAGATTTGAGTAAACAAATTCCATGTATGTCAAGGGAACAGGGATGATGTGACGATAAGTACAGGGAAATACCCTTCCTAAGCAGAGGATCTCAAGAAAGAGACTATAGAAACAAATTATAATTTTGCTGTGATTAAGATCTAATCCTAGCATCTGACATCACAGCAGCAGAGGATTTGGAGCTTTTTCAGGGTGTTTGTTGTTGAATGGCATTGCACGAGTTCCTTTCTTTGCCCTTGTAAACCTAAACTTGGTCCTCAAGCTTTGAATTGTTTGATCAAGTAGCAAGCAATTGGTTAATCTAGCTTATCACTTAGCAAAGATATAATAAAAGACAATTAAAAACAGAAAAGAAAAGAAAAGAATTATTTGGAAAAGGATTAAAGAAGTGAAATGGTACTAGTAGTAATGAAGATACATCTCATCTGAAAATTGAAATGAAAGAGAGAATTCCAAAACAAGTTAATAGAATACAAGAAAGAAAGAAAGAAAGGAGCTTATCCTGATGGGTCAAAACTGAATCCAGAGTCATTCATGTACATTGTAATGTAAAGGTGGGGAGGACTGGGACTGGGAGCGTAAGTCTGGGCGGGGGGGAAACAGCAGCTTTAGACGGAAAGCATCAACCCCGTTCAAGTAGTACCGGAAAAGCCTTTTTGCCCTGATAAATCCAAGGCGCCCATACAACGCCAGTGCTCCTTTATTTGTCACTTCTGCTTCTAGTGTTACCTGAATCACATTCATTCATTCATTCATTCATTCGTTCGTTAAATTCTAGCGGAAAACCCTAAGCCCCAATTTCTCAACAACAGATTATGAAATTAATTACACAAAAAAAGAAAAGAACAGGCAGACCACGACGTACCTCTTCACAGCCTGATTCCATCATGACTTGAATAGATCTGGTAACTAGTTGGGTAGCAATCCCTTTTCCTCTGTAGGGCTTGATGACAACGAGCATGGCGATGTAGCCTCTGTATGTGTTGCGATGCTCCCCCATCTTGCACACCACCGTCCCCACGCATTTGCCTCTGTGGAATGCCAGAAAACACAGCTGCGGCCACAGATACACGAAGTACCTGTACGTAAAGATGGAGTATGGCTCGCTCAGTTCTTGGTCCACCAGCCCCATTATCAGCGGCAGATGATCTTCTCCTTCGTAGCTCACATACTCTATCTCCGATGCCGATAAATTTACTTTCCCACCACCTCCTCCGATGATGCCGCTTTCTTCTTCGTTCCCACTATTTCCTTCCACTTCCACTTCCACTTCCAATTCCATTCTCTCTCTCTGTTACTCTTTTTTCTGTGATGCTTTGCTTTTTGTTTGCGAGTCTTTGTCAAGCTCAAAAGTCCTCGACGACGGAGTGACAATCAGGGATTTGAATTGAGCCCAAACCTCTATCTCTCACGCTTTTCTTTTAGGATGACTCGGCCCAATCCAAGTCTTCAAAGTAAATATGAGATCAGAAATATACTTGAGCCCAAAAACAAACAAAAAAACAGAGTAAATGTGATGATGACGTGCCAAAATCAGGGCCACCTGCCAAATAAATCGACCACACGGTCATTTCATTTCCCCCATGTTCCCAAAATCCCATCGCCTGGGAAATTTTGGTTTGCCTATTTTATCCCTATCCCTCTCTCTCTCTGTATCTCTCTCCACAGCACTCGCTGCATTTGTTGGGCTAACCCAAACACGACCATTTCGCAGCGCAAGGCTTGTACCTTAACCCAGAATCAGAATATTAATAATATTAATATTAATAAGAAAAAGAAGAAGAAGATGTTGAGGGTTGCGGCGAGGAGGCTCTGTTCTGTGTCTGCGTCGCCATGGAGGCCCAATCAGGCCGCCACTGCCTCCTCCTCTGTCCTGTCTCGGAATCTCATCGACGGCCGTGACTCCTCCAATGACCTCAGATCCATCTATTTCACTACTGACTTCTATCTTCCTTCCAGAGGTTAGGGTTTCCCTCATTCCTCTTCCCTATTTCTTGGCAAATGCTTATTTAGGGTTTCCCCCATAATATCTATTTAGGAATTCATCAAAATTTTATCACTTCCTTTTGGGCTTTTCGATAGTCTGGCTTCCGAGAATGTGCAATTGTGTTTTGAGCTTGATATTGTGCTTGCGTTTGTGTTTGTATCATATGTGCAATCTTTCTGAGCTGAACAATAAATATGTTAGTTTATGTTTAGCTCCCATGGATTCTGAATATAATTTGCTACCTATAATGGATTGATTCATTAGAGTTTAGGTTGCCTTATTTTGATGTTGATTGTTTGTCAAACTTGTGTTTAATAAGAGAATGAACTTTGAAATTATGTAGAGTATCTTCTAGCTTTCTTTCTGTAAGAGGTGCATGCCTTCACAAATAATAATGTATATTGGTCTTTTGATCTTGAAGTTGCAAGTTACGTATTGGAAAAGAGAATAAAAAAGAAAAGAACAGGAAGACCAAGAAAAAAGGTCATGAAGCATCAAGTTCCAGTCTGAATGTTAGTGGCTATTTGAAGTCTTTAATAGCTGTTCTAAAATTTACTTCTTTAAGTAATGATTTAAGTCTATATTAAACCATACATATAAGACATGGCTTTCTATGTCATATTGCTCTTGTTCTGAATGAATTGGTTGCTTCAGGTTTTGCTTCTGATTCACTGACCCCATCAAAGGACAACAACTTAGTTCCAGATGTTCCTCCAACTGTGGCAGCTGTTAAGAATCCTACTTCGAAGATAGTTTATGATGATTACAATCATGAGCGTTACCCTCCAGGTGACCCCAGCAAACGGGCATTTGCCTACTTTGTCCTCACAGGTGGTAGGTTTGTCTATGCTTCTCTGATTCGTCTGCTTGTCCTCAAGTTTGTGCTAAGCATGTCAGCCAGTAAGGATGTTCTTGCCATGGCCTCGCTCGAGGTTGATCTCTCCAGCATAGAACCAGGTGCGACTGTGACTGTGAAGTGGCGTGGAAAGCCAGTCTTCATCAGGCGCCGAACTGACGATGATATCAAGCTGGCAAATAGTGTAGATGTTAATTCTCTTCGTGATCCCCAGCAAGATGCTGAGAGGGTCAAAAACCCAGAATGGCTTATTGTTGTTGGGGTCTGCACACATCTGGGTTGCATTCCCTTGCCAAATGCTGGTGACTTTGGTGGATGGTTTTGCCCATGCCATGGTTCCCACTATGATGTTTCTGGAAGGATCCGCAAGGGACCAGCACCATACAACTTGGAGGTACCCACATATACCTTCTTGGAAGAGAACAAGTTATTGATTGGTTAAAAAACCTTGGGGTTGCTCTCTAGCAAACCGGTTGTTTCTGGGATAAGGTTTTTTTCTCTCGTAAGTTAATCAGATAATGTCGAAGATTTGTTACAGACATTTTTGTTTTTGCCCTCTTCCCCCTTTGGGATGTCTGGAAATATTATGTAACTGGGATATTTAACTCTTGCTGGGTGGTGTTGCTATGGATTCTCAATAAGTTGCCTTGGCCTTTGCTGAGCATGAACTGTTTCGAAAGTTTGAAACATTGCTGAGCTGAGGATGTTTTTATTTATTTATTTGGTTATTTATGAATCGAGGAAACTTTATTTAGTTATCTGTTGAGGCTTATTATTGTTACCAAATTGCATTATGGCGCTCTCTGTCTCGTTCATTATAGCATTAGGGGGTTGGGGATCTGATCTGAGGATATTGATAGAGATGTTTGTACCATAATTTTGGCGACTCCTAAAAGCCTGAAGGGGGATAGGATAGAGAGGGGTTTTAATTTTTCCCTTACTAAGTGCATGACAGAATTTGTAATCCAACTGAATCAATCTAATAGTAGTAGCTCACAGCTATATAATTGGTCAAATATTATGATTGTGTATACATCTTAAAATCTTTAAATTAGGATCCAAGCCAATAGAAGAAGAGCCTCATTTCCTTTCTAGTAGTAGTCTCCCTCTCTGAGCCCGAGCCTGAGCCACACGGTTATTATCTCTCGAATATGCCCTTAACATACACCATGCCTTTCTCACTGAGTTGAAGCTCCTTTCTCATTTGCTCTACTTGCTGGTCATCCCCTTGAACGATGATCTCTGACTGTGCACCGTCTTCATCTATGACCATCATTTTGACCTTGATCTGCTCCTTTCTGGATGCCCGTTTCCAGTAATATGCTCCCCTGTGTTCCATTTTTAAAAGGGAACATTAGATGCGAGAGATTTGATAGAGAATTCCTTAGCCAAAACAAAAACCAAAAGCATTGTATGAAGAAAAAAAGCGAGAGAGGAGGAAGAGTGTGGGTGGGTGACTGCTGCTGCTGCACTTACGCCAAGGGACTTAAGGTGATGATCCAAAACCAATTATTGCCGACATCTGGAACAGTTATTGTAAGGACAAGAGCTACGCTTGCCAGGCTGATGCAGGTGCAGAAAGTAAGCAATGCAGCTTGGCCTCGACTTGGAACCATCATGCCTTCAAACCTTCATTCAAGATCAACAGAAAAATTGAGCATATCAATAGATGTCATGTTAGTACACAACTCCTCCTTAATTAGCAAGCAAACAACAACAAATTTAACCATCTATCTATCTTAGTTGCAGGCAGGCAGGCAGGCAGCCTCCTCCAGTTCCAAACACGGCTGGCATTCAGAATCATCTTCATGCGACTCAGGATTGGAACTAAAATGCAATGAGTATGTTCTGTTGTTCTGTATGAACTCATCAGGACAGGAGGAGGAGACTATATATAATTAATTACTTATATCATTATTCAATATTGCATAGATAAGATAAGATAGCCATAGATAGTGATCTTAGTAATAGTATTAGTATGTATGAGAGTTGAGAGAGAAATAATTAAGGAGGAGGAGGAGGATAAGGTGGGTGGCTTACGTGATTGTCTCTCCTCTATCAGTGACCACAAAATTGTTGCGAGTGAAGAATGACAAAATTTCACCTGCGACCTGACTCGGTGCCTTCTTCTCTTCACCTATAAATGTCTTCTGCACAACCTGAAACACATATTTCAGGCTCAGCATCAGCCCAAGTCCATGATGGTTTGGCTTGGTTTAAGTGGAAAAATTGATGGTTCAGGCACATATATAATATAATAATTGATGTAAAAAGTGAAATTGCAGCGGAAATGGCGTACCTTGGATTTAACAGAACGTTTGATGAGGGACCAAAGGCCTGGAACAGAGAGGACGAAGAGACCCAAGGAAGTGTAGTAACTGGCCAAGGAATAACCCACGCTGTCTGCAGCAACCACAAACAATGATGATGATGAAGATGATGGTGGTTCCTGCAGTAAGACTAGTAGAGAGGAAGTAACAAGGGACTCGCAGTCGTGAAGGGAGGAGCTCAAGGCACCAACAACCTGCAGCTGTCTCTTCTTGTTGGCTCTTGTTCTTGAGGAAACTTGACTCAGCAGCCGCCATGGCTGCTTCTGCTTCTGGGTTACATCTCTCGTGGCTTTGACTTGGAGTATTTTCAGAGGACGAGATGATGGATAACTGTGAGGATTTGGGTTTAGCTGTGGGTGTGGAGGGGACGATAACGCTTTAGCTGCCATTGGTCGCTCCACACACACACAGAGACAGAGATAGAGATAAAATACTAGAATTGATTGAGTTTACTGTTTACTAGCTAAGGCCCAAGGAGGCCATGAGCCTTGAGGTCCAACTCCAACAACTCCATATTCAAATTTTCAATAATATGTGAATGTGATAGACTCTGATGGCCACCCGCCCAAGCAAATGGATAAATGGCTTTGAAAAACGACTGCATTGCGTTTTTGTCTTGTACTCATCTCATATAATACAATACAATCAAAGCAAATTATATGCTCCGGTGTGGTGTTGGGCCTATTGGCAAATCACCAACATAAATCGTTGAGGCAAGTTATTGGTACTAAATTCTAATTAAAATCCTCGTTTGAGGAAACATGACGCCCAAACTAGCGTATAAAACACCAAACAAACAGGTAAATCTAGATTAGGTTAGTCGATCTAAGGTAGTAAGTTCGTTCTATTCTATATAAATTTGAATTCCGTTTTTCGTGGATTAGATTAATTTAGAATAATTTAAACAATCATTTATATGCCACAGTTGAAAAGAAAGTAGTTTTGCCAATCTTAGAGCATTTGTAATAGGCTCCTTAAACCACCTCATTAGACAAATTTTAGAGAGGAATTAGAAAAATACAACTTCAACCATGCTCCCTATCCACCTCCTAAAATATGGAGACCTTTAGAAGCTCCTAAAAACATCTATAATTATGCTCTCTATTTTTTTTAGTTAGAGCATCCACAATGATGCTCTCTACTTCTTAGCTAAAATTTAGCTAAAAATATAAGAAAGCTATTTTAGGAGCTCTCAAAAAAATTTCAACTCTAACCATACTCCCTAATTTGGAGAGTCATAAATGCTATAACTCTTTTTCGATTGGTCCATCTCTATTAAAAAATAAAATAAAAAATAGTTAGTATTAAATAAAGGTTTGAAATACTCATTAAATAAAGCAACATTAAATTATAGGGAGCCACTAGGAGTCATTTCTCTCTCCTCAGATTTAGGAGCTCCTAGAGGACTCCCTATTTTAGGAGGTGGATAGGGAGCATGGTTGGAGTTGCATTTTTACAATTCTTCCCTAAAATTTGTCTAAGGAGGTGGTTTAGGGAGCCCATTGCGGATACTCTTACAATTTAGTTTGAAACACACAAAAGCTATTTTATGAGCTCTCTATAAAATTTCAACTTCAATCATACTCTCTAGTTTAGGGAGTCATAAATGCTATAATTTTTTTTAATTCAATGTAAATGGTCAATCTTGATTATAAAAAAAATCATATAAAAAATATGCAATATTAATTAAAGGTTTGGGGAGTCTATTGCGGATGCTCTAAATTTGAAGAGAAAAAAAGGACTCCTCCTAGTGACTATCTATAATTTAATCTTGCTTTGTTTTATGCATATTTTTAACTTTTAATTAATGCTACTTTTTTTTTATATAGAGATTGACGAATTATATTAAATTAAAAAATAATCATAGTATTTATGACTCCCTACATTAGAGAGTATGGTTGAAGTTCAAATTTTATAGAGAGCTCCTAAAATAGCTTTTTTGTGTTTTTAGCTAAATGTTAACTAAAAACAAGAGAACATGATTGTAGATTTTCTCATTCAATGATAGCCTTCTCTTTATTTTTTTAATTCACAAAATTCAAAAAGTTAGCAAAATGTACACGTGGCTCATTGAATGAGTGAGTAATGGTAGCATAAGTGTATGCCACTAACTTTGACACTAATTTATTAAGAGCATCTCCAACAATAGTAGCGAATAAAACTTTTGAAGTATGTTAACCTACATGGCAATTTGAAAAGCCTTATTTGCTACTTGAATAATATTTGCTTCAACAAACTCGTCAATTCAATTAATGTAATACCATGAAAAATATGAAGAAAAAAATTGTAAAAAATGTCTATGTATTTATAGTTTGATGGATAGGAACAAATATATTTAAAAAAAATTATAAATTTGATTACCATTTCAATTTCTCATGTTCCTCCCCTCTTGGTTACCATCAATCTCAAAGGCAATTGCGAGCTTCTCAGTGTGAGATTGATTCTTAGGGTCACAAAATGATACGAGAAAAAATGGATGAGAGAAACTGAAAATAATGGATGGATTGAAGAGAGATGGGAAAACAGAGAAAATTATGGTGGTGGATTATTAATAGACGGGTGGATTAAATAGAGTTATTTCATGGAGAAACTAGCAGAGGAATCGCCTTCCTCAAGCACATGTTGTTTATGTTTCTACATGGGAAACGAAGAAACTTTATGTGAAGAGGAAACGAAGAAACCTAATTTAATCGTGTGTTGTTTTTGTTTTATTTTTTAATAAATTGGACAATAGTATATACCAAAGTAGATATTAATAAGCCACTATATAATATTTTAGTATAATTTTTATAACATATATTATTCACATTCAATAATATGTGAGAATTATTTGTATAATACGTGAACTTTGTGTGAATTACATAACATTTTGTAAAAAATATGGCTATTAAGCATTAGAAATACATATGTACATGTACAATACGACTATTGTACGTTTGCTTTTTAAAAAATAGTAAATGTGTATAGAATACGAATGTATTATTGAAAAATACATACGTACATATATATAAGACAGTAGCCGCTCTTGGGATATGGAGAAGTTTAATTAATACACCCAAACGAAAATAAGTAATTTTTTTTTTGGTTTTTACAGAGAAGAATTTAAATAAAAAAAAGGATAAGATAATAATTAAATTAAAGAAGTTGGCGAAAAAACAAAAATAAAGAAACTAATTATATATATATATATATATATATATTTTTAAACATAAACACTTCTCCCGATGAAATTTCGTCGGTATAGGTCTATGCCGGCAAATATTTGTCGGATTAGGTTTCTCCCGACAAAAGAACCTCCGCCGACGAAATTTCGTCGGGAGAGGTCATTTAAAAAAAAACAAATATAAACTTAGGATGTTTAGGTTAATTAATTTTTTATAATTTTATTTTTACTAATTAAATAATATATTTGACTGATTTAATTAGTTCAATTAGTAATTATATTTTAATTTTTTTTATAGTGATTAATTAGTATTAAATATTTTAATTAACTTCATGAATTATATTACTAAATAAATAGTAATTCAATTTTTCTTTTTCTGTTTTTCCTTTAATATTGACTAAGTAAATAATAACTAAAACATAATTACTAATCAAAGTAATTAAAAAAGCGAAATACATATTATGCTACTTAAAGGCCCTGTTTGGCATGCTTCACTAAGCTTCACTGGACTGGACTGGGTTAAATAGTCCTAAAAACCTATGTTTGGTAAGGGAAGGGATTAAGTTAAATGAGATTATATAATCCAACGGGTAAAAAAACAACGGACTCGCTTGTCTAATATAGCGAGCCCAAAACTTGGTTCGCTAAATAGCGAAGGTGCTATTTTGTACACGGAGTCCGGCTGAATACCACCACCACCATCAAACACACGAGCCCGAAACATCAAGCATACCACCATCACCCCGATGCCACAACCATCAGACCACCACCATCAAACCCACAACCAGCCACCACATACCCAATTGAACCATCACCATCACCTAATCAGTAAATCGAACCATAATCACCAGCCACCACATACCTAGCTAAACCACCAGCACCACCCAATCGAAACCATCACAACCATTAATCAGTGGAACCACAGAGAGAGAGAGAGAGAGAGAGAGAGAGAGAGAGTTGATGGTTGGATCTGTAGTGGCATTAAGAGAGAGTGAAAAGGAGGGAAGGAAGAAGAAAAGATAAAGGAAAGCATAGGAAGAAGGAAACGAAGAAAAACAAAAACGGCCTGGGAATGGAAAGAAGAAGAAAGGAGGAAGGAAGAAAAAAAACGGAAACGGGCCAGGGTAGAAAAGGATGAGGAAGGAAGAAAGGAAAAAAGAAAAGGGAACGGCCAGAGAAGAAAAGAAAGAAGAAAAGACAAGGGAGAGAAAAGTAAGGAAAAAGAAAAATAAAAAGAAATGAGATAGTTTTAGTCTTTCAAAAATATTATAATTTTATTTAATTTTAGGCTAAAATCCTTAATTAAAATTAAATATTAAAAAAAAAAATAGTCCGACACGACACCAAACATAAGTCTTCACTATTTTTACAATCCAGTTTCTTAGTCCGACGCAACACTAAACGTAGGTCAGTACTTAATCCAGCTTAGTCCATTCCGAGCTAATTCAAGACAGTCCTAGGATTTAATCCGGTCCATAACAGTCTGCCATACCAAACGACCCCAAAGGGTTTGTAAAATCGTATAGCCGTGCGGCTATACTTTTTAAAAAAAAAAAAAAAACTGGGTATAGTCGTGCGGCTGTACTATTTTTACATATAAAAAAAGGACCCCAGTCATTAGGCGCCACGTGTCAAGACAATTCTAATTTTTTTTAAAAATTAAAAACACAGAGTATAGCCGAGCGGCAGTTCTAATTTTTTTATTAAAAAAAAAGAGGACCCTCCAGCGATTAGACGCCACGTGTCACTATACTATTTTTGAAAAAAAAATCGTAGTATAGCCGAACGGCTATACCATTCTAAAAGGTCTATCTATACTATTTAATATATAATTTTTTTTTTAAAAAGAGACCCTCCAAGTTTCATTTGTTTGTACTTTATAGATATTAATTTGCTAGTTTCGACCTATCCAAAGTAGATATTAATAAGCCATTATATAATATTTTAGTATAATTTTCATAACATATATTATTCGTATTCAATAATATGTGAGAATTATTTGTATAATATGTGAACTTTGTGTGAATTACAGAAAAATTTGTAAAAAATATGGGTATTAAGCATTAGAAATACGTATGTAAATGTACAATACGACTATTATACGTTTGCTTTTAAAAAAATAGTAGACGTGTATAGAATACAAATGTATTATTGAAAAATACGTATGTATATATATATATATATATATAT